TTCTGTTTTAGCTGTCAAGAAGTCATTCCCTTGCCTCCCAGGAGAATTTATCTACCTACTCAGCCTATTGTCTGAGAGTCACGACAGCTTGTACTACCTTCCATTTAAAGTGGACCTGAAAGTTGAGCAGTTCAGAATATTCACTTCCCTGTCACTGATACTAGATTTCCCTTGTTCTTTCTTTGACTACCCTTTCTGGAACCACAGAGGGCCTCTGTATCTGGAAGAATTTGCTCTGTTATCTTCTTCTTCCATTTTCATGTCATTGTCATGATGCTTTATTGAGCTGCTGCTTTCTCAGGTTCTATACCAGCCATGCATGGTCCAACCACCTCAGTCTGTTATTTGCCAAAGAAAAAGCACACTAAAACACTGCTACATAAATAAGAAGCAATTCATCTATGATTCTAAGTGTGCTGGTGCCCAAATATCCTAAAAACATTAAATTATTTGATGCAAAAAGGCCATTATGCCTTTTTTTCTCATTCTCTGTATTCTGTTAAGTGGTATTTTTGCAGCTTAACATATTCCAGACCTTTGCTGGCAGAAGCAATGCATATAACCTCCCTTAGAAGAGTATTCAGTTGGGAGCTGCCTGGCTACACAGGATTTTATACATCGTTCAGCTAAGTCAGCGATCCATATAAAAAACCAAGTGCTCAGGGACACCATGTGGATTTGTGACATTCTTCAGAGTACTTTGTGTTTCTAATAAACCAATGAACGGATTACAGTCAGACATAAAAATGTTTTTCCTCTCCATGACATATATAATATGGATAAGCTTAATTTAATAAGATGCTAAAAACTAATGCCATATTTGTTACTTGTTAAAAATACTTCTCGCTATTGTAACTGCTTAAGAAGAGGAGTGAGAGCACACAACAAAATGGCAATGTATAAAACTGAGAAACACCGAGCTGAATGCTAACATGGGACACCTTGATTAAGTAAATTTTTGTAAACTATTTTTGTCTTGTGAGAGTTGGAAACAGAAGAGACGGGCAAACATTTCCTATACTGTATTTCCCAAAACCCTATTTCATCTTGGCATTCCAGTGTTTATTTCTTTGTATCACGCTGTTGTCACGAGTTAGGCACTGGATAATGGATAATTTTAAAAGCAGTCCATCTGTATTTAGTCAATAACGTAATGGTTTGTAAACTTACTCAGCACCAAGCTGTTTCTTGAAAAGAACAGAAGAGCATTCAAGGGAAAAGAGTGACAAGACTTGGTGATTTCCTAATGATCAGATTTAGTTCTTTGTATGATCATGCTTACTTGCTGCCAGGAAACCCCCTATCTGCCTACAAATGACAAACAATTGTTTGACTTAATTAGCAAACCTTAGGTGAAGTTCCTGTTCCAGGGTGACTGGCACTGCAACTGGCTTGAAAACTTACTTTAACTGGGAGATGTCCTTAATTCTTCCTTTTTATTATTCCTTTTATGTCAACTGACTGTAAGGAGTGTTGAGATTCCAAGGTGCTTATAGTTAAGGTTTCTCACAAGCACAAACCTTTCTGGCAGCTCAACACATTTCTAACATCAGCCTTCCACACCTTCTGTTTCTAGCTCAGTTTCAGTGAGGGAAGCAATGGTGCTAGTCACAGGATCCACGCCTGTCTACTCTCTGCATTCGGACATGCTTCTCCCCGTGCCTCTGCAGTGTAGGGAGACAGGGCTAAGTGCAGTCACATCCACAAAACCTCACTGAAGGCAATAAGGCCATGTAGGCTTTGCTGACTAAAGATACAGCAAAGTCCAACAACTACTTTTGAAGCACCAATTTCTTTCTCAAATCTTCTCTCCATATACAAAAGCCCATCTACACTACAGTGGTGTCTTAATTGTGACTGCAAAGAACATGAATGTACATTTAATATCAATTCATTGTAAAGGAACAAGCCCCTAATTCTCATTTATCTGCTTTAAACATCTCAGGAAATGATCCATTTTCTCTCCTATTTATTGCTTTTTCTTCAAATGCCCAGAGTGAAGGGTCAGGCAGCCCATGGTTTTCTTCCTGCACTTTTTGCAATCAGTGGGAATATCATCACTGTGAAGCCAGGATCAAGCCTTGGGTTAAGGTATGTAATGTAAGAAGTCTTTAAGTCAGGCTTAAACTTCAAGGTAAGACACATAAGTAAAGGACTAAGTCAGGATGATGCCTACTACCATAAGTACAGGGCCTTCAAGAACCATAAATACCAACTGGAAGTTGTTACTCCGATTTGAATAGTGTAGAAGATGTCAATGTTATTTTTCAATTCACGACACTTCCTTTCACACTGTCAATAAGTTTCAAATCTGATAATTTCAAAATATATGTGGAACATCTTTTCAATAGGAAATTTATATTCATTCAATTCTGCATCTTTTCACAATCTAGTCATCTTCTGACCTGTAAAATATCCACAATTTGTTACCTTCGGAGAACACACACACCCCAAAAGAAAAAAAAAGGAGAAAAAGGAGCAGGGCTTCTTTATGGGCTTAAGAGTGTCAATATTTTTTACCTATTTATTGAAAAAAAAAAAAAAGCAAAATGAACTGTTGAATAAAACACAGGTTACAGAAAGGTTCTGTCCATTCTATTTTAAAACATCTGCATAGGATACAAAGAACTGCTGGCAAGAAAAAAAAATCCAAAGCATTTATTTTAATGTATTTAGTCTCTTAATAAACACAGGCTGGTCATTTGGCCAAGAACTTTTAAAACACCTATGATAAGTTACAACTTACCACTTTTGGTTATAATACCCTGTAACTGAGCTCAGGAATCTCCTGTTATAGATTTTGTATTGTTTTATTGGGAGGATAATAGAGTTGTTGAGAAAATAAGTTATGTTCAGTTCTAGAAGTATTTCTTTTTTTTGTTCACTACATACTATTTAATACTCTCCTTTGTACACTTCTTAATAGTTGAGCTTTAAGTGAAACTCTGAAAAACATTAGGATTCAAAATACATTGGAAGATTTTATTTTCAGGGTCACAAGTAGCATACCGAGATTTTTCTCTTAAACAATGACACTTAGTATCTCTGTAGTTCTATGAATACTTTTGAAGTGTCATATTAAAACCAATCTCTTGGCCTTCAGGCAAAGAGAAGCAATTAGTCTTGGAGTTGTGAATAAATAAAAATCCATTTATATACCCGTCCTTGACACGTACCTTGCAAATCTTAGAAACTTCATCTAGTGGGAAAAGAAATGTTAAATCACGAACACCAATGCTAATCATATTGCAATGTTGCTTCCTAAAACTGTTTAGTTTGTATCAATCTTTTAAGTATTAATTCGTATGTATATATTCATACACATTGAAACACAACAACAGAAAAGCATTCACACACTGGAGCGAGAAGAAAGGAAGGAGTGAGTGCGTATAGAGCTGTAATGCATACCTTTATTACCCTCAGCATTAATACAAGCAAGAAAAAACTCAAAGCTCTCAAGTACATTGTCCTTTTCTTCGTTACCGTAAAATCAATCCCACACGAGTTACATACCCTGCGTGTGCCTTTTCCATCCCTAGTGCTGCTATGTCTTTGCTTTCATCTACAAACAAACCAACCAAACAAATCTTTATTAGACCCGCGTCCTATTTCCACACAGCACAGTTGAATGGTACCTGTCACAGCCCGGTTGGGATGAGTCAAAACACAGTTTCTACTTCTTATTCAGCACCGAGTTTTTGGATCTTATTTTCCCTCTATCCTGTGCCTGGATGTGGAAGCATTCTATTTTTATGATGCTCTGATTGCTGTTTCAGATTCTCATATTTATTTTTCATTTAGCAGTTAGTAATTCACAAAGGAAGTAAAAATTACAATGCCGAGTCATCTCAAAGAGTCTGCCCGCACTCCTATGGGAAAGCTGAGTGAAACTCAGGCTGTGTGACAGGTCACTGAGCTTCAGTGGAGCTTGTCTTCCCTATACCCACTTGTTGACCCAAGAGCTGAGGAAATGAGACTACTTAGGCTACAGCCTCCTCCGGCAATCAGGTGAAGCAGCTGGTGTGGGGACACGCTGGTGTTCCCAGGTTGTTCAAGAATAAAATCCACCCCTTTGTGCTGTGCTCACACAGGCAAATGGGTGTCCCAGCCTGGAGGTCAGAGGTGGGACAGTGACCCCCACAAAGTCAGCACCTGGGCTGAGGGGATGGTCAAGAAAAACAAATTTTAGTCTGTTCTGGATGCAAATCTCTCTGCTGACCTAGTTCTCATTCTCTTTTTCATTTCAGAAGCTCAGCTAAAAATCCATAAATTAAGGAAATTAACTGATGGAGCCTCCGGCATCTTTGTAAGCTATTTAAATCTTTAAATTTACAACATCTTCTGCATATATCAAGTAATTAAACTAACTGCAGGGATGTAACTTTAATGAGAAAATTTCCCTCTTCTCCCGTAGTTTGTACTCTTAAAAAAAAAAAAAAAAAAAAAAAAAGCTACCCTTAGGAAAAAAGTTTCTGTTTATTCCTGCCACGGAAGAGAACTTTGGAAAAAAGTACTGTTTTAGAGGGTCCTGCCTTTCTCCCCTGCTTCGAGAAGAGACGGTGCACGGAGCGCATCAGGGGTACGGACTGCAGCTCCCTCCTGCGCGCCGCCGGCCTGACCTTTACGAGCCGCCGCGCAGCGTTGCATAACTGCGCTGCGCGGCCATGCTGGGCACTAGTAGGCGCTGCAGCCCGAGCTGATGCCGCGGCTGGGCTGCCGGCCGGCAATGCGGACGGGAGCGCTCCGCGGGCGCGGTAGGCGGCGGTATCCCGCTGCCCTGGGCACGGCGGCCAAGCGCCGGGGTTACCCCGCCGCCTGTGAAGCACGGAGCGGCCCGGCTCCTTCCCCCAAACCTGCGCGAGGGGCAGCGCGGAGCAGGACGCGCATCCCCGCGCAGGCATCGGCAGACCCGGGTCTTTGGCTGAAACTTGAGGGAGGGCTCTTCTGCCTTATCTTTTTTTTTTTTTTTTTTTTAAAGATTTCTGTGGGGGGTGTCCCTGCCGGCTCTTCCCCCACGCCGCGCGGGCCGGGAGCGGTGCGCGCCCGCGGAGCCGCCCGCGGAGCCCCGCGCCATCGCGCCGCGCTCTCTAATTGAAATGGCGCTTTTGGCCGGGGGCGGGCTGCCAGGGCGCTCCGCAATAGCACAATGCATGTCGATAGACGTCATTTGGTTTTAATGGCCTACAGGAAATTTGGCGTTTACAATGCGAGACATTAGCAAAGGGTGAAAGGGAGGGGGAGACAGGAGGGAGGGAGGCGAATAATTGCGCCCCCTCCGCCTTCGAGACCCCCCGTCCGCGCCCCGGCGGCGCTCGGTGCTGCGGGGGGGAAGGGGGAAGTCGGGATTATTTTTAAAATTATTATTTATTTTTGAACTTGATCTAGTTTATCAACAAGTGCAGAGTGGGTGCTACCCTAATTGTAACAGAGGAGTCAAGAAATGTGAGAAACGTGCCCTGTGTTACTTATTTGGGAGCTGAAAATTTATGCCTAGTTGAAAACGCCTGGGGAAATATTACATCAGACCAAATGACAATGATTAAAATCAGCTTTTTTCCCCCTTCCAGCCCCCATCCCCCTTTTCCTCCTTCTTCTTTTCAGTAAGTCTGTTGAAGGACGTGACAGTGGCCTGATCCTCCCCAACACCGAACCGTTATCCCCAGGGCCGGGCAGCGCTCCGCGGGGCTGAGCGGGGCTCCCGCCCCGATCCGCGCTTCTCTGCGCGGAGGGGCTCTGCGGACGGCGGGGCCGGGGAGCCGGCCGCCTTCCCAGCCTGATTTAATTTTCAAGGGTTGTGTTTTATTTTATTCCGGGGGGGGGGGGGGGGGGGGGAGAGAAGTAAGAATAAATCTGGAGACCTTCACCAAAAGGAGGGGAAAATATCCAATTTTCATCGCAAAATTAGCTCGGGCGAGAGCAAAGGGCTGAGCTAATTGTAGCCTAATCCTCTGCCCTGCAGGCGTTTGCAAAGCCCTGAGCAAGAATTCGCTTTTTTTCCTCCTCTTCTCCCTTCCCTCTGTTATTTAGAGACGGGATTATTGCCTTTCTTCTCATAACAGCCTCGGCAGTTTCATTTAAAGGTTTTTTTTTCCCCCTCACACACACACACATCCACAGACACACAGAATAAATAGAAAAAGAAGCAGCAAAAACGGGGGGAGAGGAGAGACAGAGGAGCTTTAAAAATAATAATAATAATAATAATCACAGCAGGATCTGCGGAGCAAAGACAGTAATAAAAGCAAAAAGCTGAGCCCATCACACACAAACCCAACAGAGCCCAAAGCCAAAGGGGGGCTTGCACATCTCTTCCGTGCTCAAGGTAAGGAACGCGGCGGCGGCTCCGCGGCTGCCCGGGCCGGAGCGCGCACTGCGCGCCGTGCCGTGTATCGCATTGCATCGCGGCGCACCGCGCTCTCGCCTTCTCCCGCTTCCCCCTCCTCCTTTTTATTTAATTTTTTTTTTTTTTTTTTTTTTTGGAAAGTGCCTCTTCAAACTAACTCGGGTCTTGGCTCCGCAGGAGAAGCGGCGGAGGGGCGGTTTGTTGTTTTTTTTTTTTTTTTTTTTTTTTTTAAAGCTACAGGACTCGTTTGCAGCCGCCCCGCTTTGATAGCGCCGTGTCTCTGTCTGTGTGTGTATGTTTTGTTTTGCTCCGCTCCAGCATGGGCAGCGCCGGCGGAGCCCCGCGGCCCGGGGTGCCCGCGCTGCCGTCCCGGCCCCGGCTTTGAAGACGACGGCCAAGCCCCAGCGCGGCGGAGGCAGCGCGGCTCGCTCCGCGCTCTCGCATGGTACAGCGAAGCCGCGGGGGTCGGCCGGGCGGTGCGCGGGGCAGCGCGGAGCGGGGCGCGGGGGCTGGCGACGGGGCGTCTCGGCACAAAGGGAAGGCGGGCGACAATGGGGAGCGGCGCGTATGGAAAAGACGGGCGGGCTGTGAATGAAACTCTGGCGCCAGTGAGAGTGGAAGGCTTGGTCTGGGGTAGACTTCAAACCACTCTAGGCTATAGTTTGCATTTCTTCTCCTGCATGCGATGTGGCACACTTCTGCAAAATTAATACATTAGCCTGGCTAATGCTCACCACCATTGGCTGCGCGGAAAATGAGCAGGAGCGGGGATTCGGGGCTGGCTTTTTGGTGGTTTGTGTTTTTTTTTTTTTCCCCTTGCATTCATCTAAGACATCTCCTCTCTTGTTATGTGGGAATAAGTAAAGGACGCCATGTTGTGCCTTTTTTTTTTTTTTTTTTTTTGGTTGAATTTTACCTTTGGGCACACAGTGTGTTTAAAAAGAGAAACGAAGAAGTTGAGTGACCGGGTGCGTTTGCTTGCTTGTGATTTCTCTGGACATCACGCCTGGAAAGGCGTTTGGGTGACGTTAAACTTGCACTAAATAGGCTGGAGATAGGCGGGTTGGGAAGGGGGGAAGCACTTGTTTTCTTAGGGTTGTTTTTTTTTTTTTCTTTTCGGCAGAGTTCCTGAGGGGGCTGCCCCCCCCGTAAAAGTTTTGGGCACCATGTTCTCTGTCACTCGGTCCAGTGTTGAGGGAGACAGCGGGGAGGTGCGGAGGTGTGTGCACAAGCCTTCACTGACTTTCAGTGTTGAAGCCTTGCAGCCCGTGCCTTGCAGCCTCCTCCGCCCCCCCCGCCCCGCTTTGTCTGTAGGCCCTGTTCACGGCGTGAGCATTTGTCTCAGGGTGGCTCCAGAGGCAGACCCGAGCGGTCGCCCTCTCTGGGTGCGTAGAGACAAAGGTAATTGCCGGATCTGCAGCCGCCGTGTCCCTCCGGTCGCGCCAGCACTGCCATACGGGTGACTCCTGCAGCCGATCACCGCCCCGGGGTGCTGGGCTGCGTGGGGAGGCTACCCCGGAGCTCTTCAGGGCCTGCTGGCATGGGAATGGAGATCTCGGGGGGCAGAGGGGGAGGAGGACAGCTCCCTCCCCTTCCTCTCTCCCGACTCCGGCCTGGGAGCAGTCCCGGGGAGCGTGAGCCGGGGCTCTGCAGACGCTGGACCGGGCCCTGGCCCCCCGGGGGAAAGAGCTGCCTCATGGCAGGTCCTTAAACCTGCAGTTCTCAGCTCACGTCCTAAATGTGCATGAAGGAATTAAACTGCGCGACTGAATAACAGCATTAGTTTCAATTATTTTTTTTATCCTGGCAACAATAAACTTTAGAAACAAAGCGCTTTTACATCCTTAATTAGTCTTGCTTCCCATCTGTAGTCTTTTAAGTGCCTGCTTCTTGATTTAACTTTGTCCCTCCTTCCGAGCCACCTCCTTTTTCATTCTTCTCCCTTTTTTTCTCTTTGCCCCTTCCAGCCTGCTGCCGGTTTCTACCCTGCAACCTTTCACCTCTCTTGTCCCTCTATGTCTGCTCTGCACGGTTTATTCCTGCTGTATTTTCCCAACATCCAACAGCAGTATTGGTTACCATGGCCCCGAGCTATGTGCAGAGGTGGGAAAGCTTCATCCGCCCAAAAGTTCTTACACTTTTGAAGTCTTTCTTTTAGTAGGATCTGAAATGTATCATCTAGAGTGTGTATTAAATGAACAGTATTCCTAAAGGCTTTAGAGCAAGAAAGGCAACACCCTGGAAAATTCTGCAGTCTTTCAGCATTCTCTGCCCTAGGGTTATAGCCCTGGGCACAGAGCTGAATGGAGCTCTTACAACTGCCTTCTGTTTACCTTTTATGGTTAAAATAACAGCTTAGCAAAGAAGCAACTTCATGGAGAAACGATTCAGTGAAATCATCTCAAGCTGTAGCAGCATAGCTAGTTTAATCACCCCTAGAGAGCTGAACAACTGTGAGCACAATGGGACACAAAATCATTTTGTGTGTAAATGAGCATGGCATTGTGATTATTTCACTTTGCATGGGCAAATAGTTTTTACAAGCAGTACTTATGCAGTTAGCTTAGAAAGGCAGAAAAAAGATAAGCTGGCTCTGAAAGATCTTGGTGTGTAATGTTGGAAAAACTAAATATTCACATAATTTGGGAATCAGGCTCTATTGATTTTGCCTTCAGCAGGTTTCTGTGTTACTTATTAGAGCAGGGTTATTGCCTGTGCCACTAGTTGGGATGCTGTATCCTGTTGTAGGCGACTAAAGAGCAAGGATTATTTTACATGGTTTAATAAATGAAGTTTGTTAGTGTTTCTGCGATATTTACCCTTAAGGTTTTAATTTTCACATCAGTATTAGAAAATATGTGCATAAAGACTTTTGCTGGATAAATACATTTAGGATTTTGCTTTGTGTATAAAGTAAGCACATTACTCAGTGTGATGAATTTTAGCTGCATTTCGCATTAAGAAGAGGAAGGAGTCATTAGAAATAGGGTTACGATACCTTAAGAAATAGGGATTTTTTTTTTTTTTTTGAGCAGTAAGTGTTTTTGGTGCCCGTCTTGTGATGCTTAGCAATTATGCCCCCTGATAATTTGCTCATACAAAAATGATTGAATTCCACAACTTTAATAAAAACGTAGGATTCATTTTTTTTAATATGAATCCTCTCCAACCAGGGGAAAAGCCTTTACTTTAATTCCCCTTCTCCTCCTCTCCCCCAGAAAGCCAGTGGCACCCTCAGTAAGTACGAAAAGCCATGAAAGTTTGAGAACTATTTTAGCTTTCCAGTGATTTTCTATAATTGTTTTTTCAACACATGCTCTAGCTGAGAGATGCCAAAAGCAGAGGATTGTTCAAAAGGTCCCTCCAGTGAATAGTATAAATTAAATATCTACTGTGTGAGTATGGCCTCACTGAGAATCTCAGGCTCTCTGCAGATCAAGGAATTTACTGGTACGCTAACATTAAACACAATCCTAAGATAGCAGCTGTGTTTAAATATGCACAAATAGATTCAGATCACTTGATCTTTAGCTATCTGTGCATATTTTAAAATTGAAGTCTGTATTTCAAGACAAATGGTTAAATGTAAGACACGTTTTACAGAAGACTGGAAGTCCTTTGATTTCATTTGGAAATTGTAACAAGGGGTGCTGATAAGCCCTAATTAGGCACTTGTTTTGTGAAACTGCATGAGATGTGTTTCTAAGGCAGCTCTGTACCTTGCACCTTTATCATTAGTGGTAATGGTTAGGGTCTGAACAAAGACAGGGTTGACATTTAGCCTGGATCTTCTGACCCTTTCATTTAAGTGAAGGAGTAGAGAGTGAACATGAGTTTGCAGTGCTCTTTGGTAAGGAAAAAAAAAAAAAAACCCAACCAAAAACCTTTGTCTGTGTTGGCATACAGATGAGGCACCCACAGATTAGTAAACACATCGCTAAAATACTGCAGGTACTTACACACCAAGTTGTTTTTAAAAGTTAGTTCTGTTATTTATGCTCTATGACATATTGAAGATTACCCACAACAGGCTCTTATGGGAAACAAGAAAGCAACGTCTTCAGTCATGAAAGGATTCAGTCACTTTCCTTGAAGGTGGTGCTGTAGTAAAAATGTTAATGCCCAACTTTGCATCTGCTGACACGGAAGTCCTAAAGACAGAGTTGGTATTTGCTTCTTGTTCAGTGCAGATGTCCGTCCAGCCTCTGAAGAGGAAAGGATGTGGATTCATAATGGGGTGATGTATTTCTGTGCTGTAGATTCAGGAAATTCTTAGGAGCTAACCAAGATGGAATACAGTAAATGGAGATGTTGCAGTGACTTTGTGAAGCTGTCATTTCTTATTCCCTTTCTATGCAGCTTAGATTTTGTTTGTTTGTTTGTTTTTACAAAGAATTTTTGCTGATTGTATGTTCATCAAGTGGGGTAGGCAGGCATCTTTTGCAAAATACTGCTAAGAGAAAGGCAAGACCAGCTTTAGATTTCTGAGAAAGATTGTCAAAGTAATGCGGGAGAAATGGGAATTACTTTGCCATGCTGCATGTAAAGTGCTTGTCAGATATAAGGAAGAGCCTGAGTGCTTGGTAGCATGCTTGCAGAACAAAATACCAAGAAAATTAGATTATATTCAGAAATGTCTTCAACTGTAATGTTTTGCATATGTTGCTTTACCCATAAGGGGGAGAATGGACATTTTCTTTAACTTTTATAAAAGGTTTTTTTTCTGTTTGACATGTATGCTGTTTGTACCGATTTAACTGAAATCAGCTTTGAGACACACGTTTCATGCAGAATAAGCTGTGTTTTTCTTCCAGAAGAGAATTGAGGAATTTTCTTTTGCTGTGGTTGTCCTGTTCATTTTTAAGACATTTCAGTATTTTGCAGGTTGTTTTTTTTACATCAGCTGAGGATTTTTGGACTCAAATCAGAAATTTCACCAATTTTCAAGTATTTTCAGGGTAATAAACGTTAGGTGGATTGTTGAATTTGTAATTTCACGTGCCAGATTGTACAGTACTTTCTCACGCGTCTTGCCATGAAAGCATGTGTCAGTTTACTTACCTTCCTGTTTTCACTGCTTCCAGGTATTAATTGCTTTCGGTTTGAAAGCTTATTAGTTCTGTATGTCTGATATTAAGGCTTAACTGAAAATCATACATTTATTTCACAATTATTGAAAGTAAACCAGAAAATTGATCTTAGTTTGATGTGAAATTTACTACATGTATAAACTAAATGCCTTAGGTACTGAGGAAGTCACTAATTTAGAGGTGTCTTGTTACTGAGACAAACTTGCAAAAACGCCTGAATCCCGATTCACAAATTGGTTATTCGTATGTCAGGGGATATTTCACATCTAACACATAAGCCCGCGACCTTTAATTAGAATTTTGCAGTTTGTTTTATGCCCCTTGAGGCTGACACCTTGAAAAATTTTTTTCTTGATTTCTTATTGCTAATAAGCATCTTTCTCTTCGCCTCTGGTACTTTGAAGAAAATGATGCAAATACACTTAATTACAGTGGTGGCAATAATTTGTTAACTGAATATGTGATCAGGCAGATGCAAAAATGATCTGATTAGATCTGTGATCACACTGGAAAGAAAGGTAACACACTGGTAGATTTAAAAGAAACTGTTCTTTTTTTCTTTCCTTTTGCAGGAGGGAAGAAGCATGTCCCGTCTGTCTCTGACACGGTCCCCGGTTTCTCCTCTGGCTGCACAAGGAATTCCTCTCCCAGCCCAACTCACCAAGTCGAACGCTCCTGTGCATATTGATGTAGGAGGACACATGTACACCAGCAGCCTGGCTACCTTGACGAAGTACCCGGATTCCAGGTAAGACCTTGGTGTTTTCAGGCTCGTTGCCCATTTCTGTTCGTTTCATGGAGAGAGGCATGCACCTGTGAGGAATATTTCAATGAGAAATACGATTTATTCACCACTTATGAATAATTTAGTTTCTGATTTATACAGTAACTTCACTGGGCTTCTACAGAAAAAAAAGCCTGTAAAATTTATGCATTATTTAGAGAGTCTATTCATTCTCTCTCTTAACGTCTTCTGCACTCTGCCATTGTGTTTGAAACACCTGTTGGTGTGCTGCTCTAGATTATTTCCAACTGTACCAAGAAACATCTTTCCTTAATATTTTGGAGGGGGGAAATCCTTTACTCCTTCCTTACGAAAACTGTATGGCTTTGTTATACTGGGACTCAGTAATGCTTCTGTTGGCCAGCCAAAATCCTGACCCCAGTGGTAGCTGTATGCCTCACTGTCAGTGGTCATTTCCTTTGGCAGTGGCCACCCAGCTGACCCGCTCTGTCTGCTCTTAGCTGCAGACAGGATTGAATCTTTGAGTGCTTAAAGGTAGCTGGTTTGTGCTGGACAGGTTGGTGACATATCTGGCAAGATTTATTTAGAGCTGGCCAACATTATCGCAGATTAGACTCCATATATGATGCCCAATTATGAATAGATGCAGCATGAAAGTATATTTGTATGTACTCCCAGTCCCACGGGGTGTGTGAAGGGTGGGGGATCCTGGACAGCATCAGCCCTGTGCTGGTAGTGTGGCAGAAACTGCTGTGTTAACAGCTGAAGCACTTTCATCGGAGCAGTCTATTAAGACTTACCTGATTTTGATTTACAGTTATGATCACTAAACTAGTTGAGCTCTTCATTCAGACTGCTTGTTTTTCAGAAGGGCAAGTGCCTCGTACGTAACCAAGAGAAGGTGTGGATGTGCAGTGTCAGGGTCCGCAGCAGACTGGTTAAAGGAGGCACTCTTGATTCCAAACCAGGGCCCAAGTCAACACGTTTCATTGCCAGAGGTTTTGCTACCTTCATGGCCTTTTCATAAAGGACAGGTTTTGGTTTTTTGTCTTTTTTGGGGGGGGGGTGTTTGTTTTTTTTTTTGGTATGACAGCCAGTGTAAAGCTCTAGTTTCATTTGAAGATTTTTCCTTTAAAAGAATTAGGTATTTTTACAGATTTGGCAGGTTCCCAAGCAATAAATGACATTTGTGGACACACCTTGAAATGCCTCTGATGTCATAAAGCATATGGATGTGATTTCATTCTAAGGAATGGGAGTTGCTGAAATTCTGCATGGAAAAGAAACAATTACTGAAATACCTGTATTTGATGGTCAGGCCAAACAATATGATTTTTCTGGACAATGCCTGTTTAGTGATGTCTGTGTAGTACTGCTTTAATCAGAGAAGAAATCTGTTCAGTGGGGAGAAATTTATAGCAGAGAAGTAGACAAATGCTTCATAATATAAAAAAATACAGGGAAGATTCAGTAGTTGTAATAGAGTAGCACATCCGTTTCTACATTTTAAAGTATCACTGCTGACAGTATTTTTAAAATATCCCCTATATCACACTTACTTAATGAAAACTTCAGTTATGGAAGCTTTGGGAGAATATATATAAATTCACAGATCTTATTTAAAGAGTATAGGGTATTGATCTAAAACCTCCAGTTTGATAGTAACAAGAGTATTTCTTTAGATTTTGTACTATGTTAAAACTGAAAGTACAAAACTCTGACAGAGCTCATGTGCTGCCTGGTATTTTGCTGTTTACTGTCTTTTGTTTCCATTGCTGTGTTATCTAATGAGGGTTGAATGCTTTTCCAGCTGCTCAAACTTCAGTTTTTGCTGGAGTAAAAGCTTACAGGATGAAATCTTTAGATGACAATTTTATCCAGCATCCCAAGTAGGAATATTGCTAGATACATTATGAAGTTATTACGAAGGGTGCACCTTAATCTGTCCCCCCCCTTATTTATTTATTTATTTGTTTGTTTATTTATTTATTTATGTGAAATCTGTTTCTCTGCAGTGCTGTATAGTAGGCTTGGTTGGTTACCCCCCATTAAGTCTGGCCTGCTCTCATTCCTGTTTAAGGCAAAGTACTTGCATTGATTTCAGTGGAGATGGTTGAAGCTCCTAATGGTGCTTTGCTGCCCTGGTGTGTATCTTCCGTAAGGCACAGACTTATCTTCACAGTGGTCTTGCTGGGAGAGGAATCCCAGGTCTGGCACAGGTGCAGGAGGAAAGCAATAGCTTTTCTGAGCAAGACATCTGGAATTAATGGCTGAGTACTGTTAGCCTGTGGTCAGTGATAACATGCATGGCCACAGACAGAGGCGTGACCATACTCATCCCACACAGAGCTTCCTGGATTACTTTGGTTAGCCTACTAAACTCTCAGTTTAAGGGTGAGTTTAAAACTCCAAATCTAAGAAATTATATTCGTACATTGTATTTCAGCAAAAGATGTAAGCTGATACTCTGAAGTGCTTTGCTAAATCATAGCCCCAGTCACATGTAGTTCGTACCCACTAAAATTGGAAGCTGTGGAAATAAGGCTTCCTGTTTATTTGTGTTACAATGTCTATTTCTTTATCAGTGCTCCAAAATCCTAAGTATGCTTTTAGCTCGTAGCATGTACTGTACATGAATGTTAAAAGACACATACAGATTGTGAGCATGTGTATAAATACAGTTAGAGTGCGTGGGGTGTGCACATGGAGACATCACATGCTAATGGAAAACAGAAGAAAATAAATCATCAAATCATGTTTATACTCCATAGTATTTTGAGGAGGTCCAGTCATGTGAAGTCCTGAACAAACTCAGTTCACTTTGACTGTAAAGGGATGGAAGAGCTCCCAGCAGCTTGCCAGATCAGACCCAGCAGGAGCAAGTATAGGTATGACCAGTTCCTGCCTATACCTGCTCTCCAGTCACCCCTCTGGTATGATATAAATTACAGCTGACAGCAGTCAGCGTGGTAGATTTCTTACTGTAATTTGTTAGGATTGACTGTGCTTAGCCCACTCAGCTGGCTGTGCCTGGCTGTTCCCAAGTTAGGTGGTTGGCTCTAATTTGGAGAAAGGACCTGATTCTGGAAGTCTTACTCACATGAGCAGATGGCTGGTGATATGAAGTCAGAGGCCAGTTCTTGCATTTCAGTGATCCCAGAGTTGTTTCAGAGCAACTTTGATAGTCTTTGATGTTGTTTGTATTAGTGCAGCTGCTGAGAGAAAAGCTTTTGTCCATTAATTAGATTTACATAAGTGAAGGGTGCCAGATTAGGCATTAAGAGGGGCAGAGGCCCTCTTTCCAGTAATTTTTTATAGGCTACATAAATACACCTAAGAAGGAGGGAACTTGAGCAGTGCACAACTGGTGTGACAAAGAACAGGGTTAGACAGCCACCGCCAGAGATGGTTTCTAAACCACTTATGCTCACCTTATGCACTACTCTTACACATCTCATCAGTTGGCTTTTTGAATGAAACACCATACAAGAAAGAGATTAAAAGGCAACAAAAATGAAAAACATAGAAAAAATTATGATCAACAACAGCATAATGATGGTGGTCACGGAAATTACTTAAGAAACAATATTATTTATCCCTCTTTAGCTACTTGAAGCTGCTTTTTGTGCATACCCAAAATAGGCATTAAAGTTAACAAGCTTTGGAGGCACGTGGAGGCTGATGTTGTTACATGAATCTGAGGTTCAGTTTCAATAGTTCACTGACATAGCAAGTTTTCCCACCAAAACTCCTAATTCTGGTAGTTTCGAGTTACAGGTACAAAGAAAAATCCACTGTTGAATTTAGTCTAGTGACCCTTACCATCAGCATCTTATTTCTGAAGTAACTGGATAAGTAGACAAATTTTTTATCTTTGAGAGCATTTCCTCTAGAAATTCCATTCATGTTTTCACCCAGAGGACCTCTAAAGTATCCCCTTCACACATTGACACTTGAATATGGATTTATATGACAGATTTTAAAGGCTGCAAAACCTCTAGCACATCTATAAAGCAAGTTTCAAAGTATATTTATCCAAGGGAGTGAGACAATTCTTATTTAAAAAAACAACCCACACCAAACGCCAAGCTCCTAACACGCACTCAGGAATACCCAAAAACATAGCTAGATCCTTCAGTCTTACTGAACTCGATGGCAGACTTGCAGTCTAGCAGAGCAAGCCCCAGCTTCTCAATTTCACTGGAAATTTCGATATCACTTTGAATTTCTATTAGCAGAACAAGATTTTTCATTAGAAGCCTGTCCTTTTTGCAGCCCTTAATAGTATTTTTAACTCAGAGAATTGCTGTGAGCTCTTTGTCAGTTTTTCTGGTATAAAAGGTGAATGTATTTACCTTACATTCTTGGTTAATTAGTATTTGTTGCATAACCCTCTATCAAAGATAAGTATGTTCTTTTATTCAAAATGTATTTATAAAACTCATGCTTTTTCTGGTATTAGTTACGACAAAAGCAAGCAGGAATAAGACATAGTAGAGTTTTCCAGGCATACCCCCACCTCTGAACCTATGAACTTCTTTGGTCAAAAGGAGTCCCCTAAAGCACATCTTCTCCTATTGAGTGTTTCTTGTCAAACTGTCGTTCCTGTATAGACCCACCCTCAGAAAAACTCTCCTGCCAAGCATGACCTTGTGATTCCAGCTCCTCTGTCGGAATCCGCGGGGTTTAATTCTCTTGCTTTTTCCTCCAGTTCCTCCATCTTTCTGGTTGCTGTAGCTCAGCATTGACACCTGAGATCTTCTGCTTTTCCCCTGTTCTGCAGCCACTCTGGGCTGGACTAAGTTCAGGGGAATGCTCTTCTTCAAGTTTTAGGACCCCTCTGTTGTGCCTGACAGAACATGATTTCTGACCCTGTATAGCCAGATACAGTGGTACAGCTCAAACACATTTGTTATTAAGATCTACAAGACAAATTTCCCACATCATCGTTTACACTAAGGGCTCTGTACCAGCTCCTGCTCTGCACTTCTTGGGAGGGACCA